CACACATAATAAAGTTAACATTTCCTCAGTATAAAGCAAGAGCCTTACAGTTCTCTAAACATCCTCATAACTAAAAGCATGAGGGGACTTTGTTACCCACCTATGTTCCAGCTTAAAAAAAAAAAAAACAAGAAAAAGAAAAGAATAGCTATGTAAGATGGAAGCAAAGTATAATGAATTCTAAATTAAAACTATTAACAATAGCTGTTGGCCATTTTAAGCCACTTACCCCAATCAAATACAAATGTGTTACAAGTGGCTCAACAGAGTAAAACACTTCATATGCAACCAAACTAAACAAATTTGCCAAGGGAAAGCGTAATGGACCCACATGTTATGGTCTTTTCCAAAGGTCTATTCTTAGATGTAAAACAAACTCCCTTTAATTAAAACCTTTGCTTATAAACATGCTTCCTGAGTAAGTAAAGCCCAACAAATGTGATACAAGTCCAACAGAGCACCCTGGAAACAGAAAGGACCCTGAGTGGTTTACAACAGTGTTCCGCATAACCTTTTACCCTTCCCCCAGGACAGCAAACATGCACACTTAAACTGAGAAAAGCCTTCTAAATTTAGATACTTTGAAATAATGCATCTTAAGCTATCTGTAAAGGTTTAGTCAATTATTTATGATGTCTCTTATCTTTAATAATGGGATATAATATTTAGCTTGTGATCAACATGGAAAGAAAGCTGTTATACCATATATTACTGTACGGAGAGTCAGAGTTTCCAGTCTATAATTAGTTCACATTAAAATGGAAGCAAAGACGCAAACCAAGCTAAAAATAAAATGTCCTACAAAGATGAGATTTTTTTTAATGGATCGAAATTTAGCTTTATTTGGTCCCTTAAATGCTGATTATATTTAACAGTGCCTTAACTTTGCAGTGCTGCAGTCACCTAATCATCCATCTGCGAGAATGGAGATCAGTACTCACCAAGTATAACCCACAGACCATAGTCATTGTGGGAGCTCACCAAGTTAAAAAAATTACCAGCCAGATGCTGGGGGCTCACCTCTGAAATACTAGCTACTCAACAGGCTGAGATATGAGAATCAGGGTTTGAAGCTAGCTTGGGCAGGAAAGTTCACTAGAGTTTTATCTCTAATTAACCAACAAAAAAACTGGAAGTGGAGTTGTGGCTCAAGTGGTAGAATACAGACTTGAGGGAAAAAGCTAAGGGATGGCCCTCAGGCTCCAAGTTCAAGCCCCAGTACCAACATACACACATAAAAATTTTTTCTGTTTAAACAAATTAATATTTTAAGAATAATTTTTAAAGCCTGAAAACTATATTAAATTTAAATCTTAGTGTTTTTAAACAAAGTTTAATTAGAATACAGTCACTCTGAACATATATATACATTACCTTAAAATATTTGTGGTAAGAACATTTAAGATCTATTCTCTTAGCAATTTAAGTGTATAATACAGTATTACCTACTATAATCATCACAATATAATTTATAATAGAACTTATCTATTATCCAGGACAATGTTACCCTGTCTGACCGAAACTTTAGACCTGGTGACCAATGTCACCCAACCCTTCCTTCAGCTCCCTCCATGATTCTCAGAGTTGAGTAATTTTGACAACGACCTTACAGTCACGTAAAATATGTACTACCTAGTTCTTCATAGAAAAGCTAGCCAACCACTTCCCTAGCCAACCACTTGATTCCTGCTCTTCCTGACCATTCTCACTCTCCATGTTGAGTTTCTGAACATTAACCCTGGAAGTATCATCTTATCCTTATTTCTTAACCCACTTCTAGCCATAGTGCTGTTTCTTATCGTATTTGGATCATTATTCAGTTCCAATGTTCTAAAAGAATTTTAACAATATTTTTTATTTCTTGTTTTAGTTAAAAATGCATGAAAATGTACAATCATGCCCTATTAATGTGCTGCCACCTACAATTTGAAAAATGATGAAGTCTTCCCTGGTCTACTCTACCTAGAGTTCATGGTAAATTGGTAAGACGACGACGACGACGATGATGATGATGATGATGATGATGATGATGATGATGATGATGATGATGATGATGATGATGATGATGATGTTTTCATTACAAAGACCGCATCTCATAAAGCAGAGAAAAATAAAAATCCTTATTTTCAGACACTGTCTTACCAGTAAAGTACAGAAGTTTATATCATGTTAAATTAAAACCAAGATACTAATTAGCAAATTATTATTCTCTTCCTACTAGACTAGAAGAGATGTCTTAGACCAGGTTGCTGTTACAAAGTTCCGAATATCTTTCCACCCACTGTTTTGGTACATTTTCCGAAGTTTAAAGACTCACTTATGGCTGTTCAAAATTAACTATAAGAATATGTTAAATAAATCAGCAGTTATTAAGTCAGCAGTTAATAAATCAACAGGTATTTTGACACACACAGCTTCATGACCTTGGCTGAAATGACTCAAGAGATGAAAAGTCAGTGAAATGGATAGTTTTCCTTACTTGGTTTGTGACAGTCCAACAACTCAAGTCTAAAACTAAGCATGAGACCTCTGGCCACTCAACAATAAAATAAAATATGGCAACAGTTAGGATAAGAGATATAACAGATAAAGTACATGATATGTATCAAAGTCTGGATTGTGAGTGGCACCCCAAAGGCTCATCTCTCTAACCACTCAAGAGGTTAAAAACTAGTGGATCAGAGTTTGAAGCCAGCTAGGCAGAAAAGTCTGTTAGACACAATCTCCAATTAACTAAGCAAAAGCCTCACTGGAGGTATGGCTTCAGTGGTAAGAGTACCAGCAATGAGCTATCAAGTTGATTGCAAGGTGAGGCACACTGTGATCAAGTCTCTGAACTGACAATAATAATAAGAATAAAATAATAAGAATAAAATAACAAATAAAAGTCTGTATTGTGGAGGTGTGAAGTGAGAAATTGAGGTTGAGGATCACATCTCATCAAGTTGAGGCCCATTTATCTCATCAAGTTGAGGCCTTGATCATAATTGTTTAATATTTTAAAATATTAACAAGCTTCTATGAATCCTAACATTATGAGTAAGTTATAATATGCAGAATTTCTGATATTCAATACACCTTTTGAAATCCATAGAACATTTCACTCTATAATCAATAACTATAATCATGGCAAAATATCATAAATACTTTTATCAGCAAGTCAAACAAAACAAAAATTAAGTTTTACATTTACTTTTGGTAATGTAAAACTTCATTAATATGTTTTACCAGAAACCACAGATAACACAAAAACAAGAGTATAATCTAAGCTATTTACCATAGTTGATAAAGTTTAGTGGTACTCTCAATAAATTTGTCGCTTGACTTTATTTACTCAATTTATAACCATTTTTAACTTTTACTCCAAACACTATAAAGTCTACTAGCTAATCTTGATAAAAGTATGCATTGAAAAGTATTCATATAAACATATAATAGTACTTTATTTGATACTACTGGGATTTGAACTCGGGACCTCATGCTTATCACTTGAATCACATAGCCAACCTTTTTTGCTCTAGTTTGTTTTTCAGATAGGATCTGAACAGTTTTTCCCTCTAAGAGATCCCCCCTATGTCTATCCCACAACATCTTAGCTAACAATTATTTTATTTTTTGATAATCTGCCATTTGGGTCTCTATTAACCTTTCTTCATGATTTTTAAACTAAGATTTCGAATGTTAAAAGCACTACTGAGAAAGTTCCCATCTTGTTTATAGCCTTAATCTCCTACAAACACACTAAATTCCAAATTCTCAATTTATTATAAATGCTATACAACTCAAAAACAGTCTTTATTTTAAAAGTAGTAGTATTTTTATAGTAGTTGAGCAAATATGAGCACTGAAGCAATACTTGACTCATTAGTATGTAAATCTTACAGGCCATTCCTCGGATGCTTACATAATTTAGTAAACAAATAGGCGCGGGGAAAACAAATTAATCTATAGATGTATCTATATGTACACATAGATACAGTATCTCTGTCTATGGAGAGATATGGATATAGACACAGTATTTCCTTGGAGTCCATTGACTTCAGGGAACCAATTCTCATGAAACTATGTGTAGAATGAACTTTCACAAACTGATTTTTAAAAGAAAGCACTCAAAGCCAATGAATTCATTGGTTAGCTTTCCAAATGCCTCATCAAAGGCCCCCACTGGCAACAGATTCTGGCCTTCAAGATTTTTACACTAATATGAACTTTAAAATAAACCACCCTCAAGTATCCATGACATTGTTTTGTGCCCTGTTCTCGATCAAATGAAGACTCAACTTCACCGGCGGACAGCACAAGCGCTAAACACAAGAATAACACATCATCCGAATGTCCACAGAACACAGATGAGGAACCTTTTTTCTACTGCAAACAACCAGGCAGTGCAGTCTGCTCAACTCTGCACTTCGCAGCACAGGGTGCGCTTAACCCACAAGCACCAGGCACCACCCGAGTAGCCTGGGATTGGGCAGCCTGCGCCTCTCAGGTTGGACCAGGAGCAGGCAGCACCCCCTCCCGACCCGCGACGGGGAAGGGAAGGCTCGCTGCAGAGATGATGGACAGGCCTGCACACGCTACTGAACGTGTGCAAGTGAACCCGGGCACCCGGGCAGAGACGCAAAAAAGCTAAGCGTTCCTTTTCAGTTCCTCAAGTGCAAACTCGTAATGGCACCTCGGCTTTTTCCCACGCTCCAGACAGCGGTTGGCTGGCTCCCTGCTCCCCGCCTCTGCCAGAGAGCGCCCCTCAACCCACCCTCCGGGATCCAGCCAGAATTAATCCTTCCCGCCCCAGGCCTGAGTCCTGGGGCTCTGGCCCCGCCCCCAAGGCAGGCCACGCCCCGTTAGCCCACGCCCTCTACCCAGGCCACGCCCTCCAGCTCCTCTTGACCTCTCCCTCTGTACCCCAGAACGCTCCCGTGCGCTCCCGGCGCCCAGGCCATGCCCCCATCCGCTGCCCACCCCATCACCGCCCCCTGCTCCCCTCCCTGCCGCCTCACCTTGGTCCGGATCTGCCCGGAGGTGGACACCTTACGGATCAGTTTCTGGGGACCCTCTTGCTCCGCTTCGCTGTCCGACGAGTCCTCTCCCGGTCCCGCGGAGGCCGCGGCGGGGTGGCCCACCGCACCGGGGGTCCCGGCGGTGGCGGCTGCGGCGGCGGTTCCTCCCGCAGCGCCTGGAGGGTGGTGCTGGCTGCCAGCCCCGGCCATCCGGTCCGACTCCGACCCCTGCAGAGATACAGCACCGCCCGGAGGGGGGCGGCAGCGGACGTCAGCGGGCGGATTCAGCACTCGCGGGTCCCCGAACCCCCGCACCCGGCCGCAGCCGCCATCTTCCGCTCCCCCGGTCCTCCCCCTCTCTGCGATGGGAAGGGCCATCCCAGAGAGAGATCCCGGGGGAAGGGGGCGCAAAGCCTTGCCCAAGTGGGACCCCAGCGCATTCAGCCTTGGAGGATGTTCTAGGGTAACTGACTAGAAAACCACCAGGGGAGGGGGAGAGGATGGAACTGACTGACATCAAGATGCCGATAACTACCACCTCCTCCTCTCCCTCCTCCAGGGGTCCTGGGGGTGAGGCTGGGGAAAATCTGCAGACAACCCCCTTATTTAAGGCAGGTAATGGTTATCCTCCCTCCCTTGGTTCTGGGCAGCAGGAGCACCAAAGGCCCACGGAGTAGAGAGGAGAACCTGGAGCTTCCTCCGGAACGGCCGCCTCCATGAACTCAGATCCCTCCAGAGACACTTGGGCTTCGTTGCAGGGTTCCAGAGGAATAAAAGTCCCTTTGCCCAAGAGACTGCCTGGAGCTGCGCCTGTGGTTTGTCTTATGACAGCCCACACTCACGCACACGCACGCACACTCACCCCACCGTGAGAATCATACCTCTCCCCCCTTGGCCTAGGACTTCGGGGGGTCTTTTCAGCTCTCCCCTCGGTGTCTAGTTCCTGGCTCACCCCCACCCTCATAGAGCTCACACGGAAGAGACAGCATTTTCCGGGAGGTTCAACTGGGGCTCTGAGAACTTTTCGTTTAGAAAGAGCGATCCCCTTTGGCTAACAGGAAACCGGGAAGGGCGTGGAGAAAGCGCAGCAACAAGAGAGGACACGCAGCCCTGAGACGACAAAACGCTAAATAAACGTCTACGCTGAAGCACTAACCGAGACTGCCTGGAAGAAAACAATGCACTTGGCCATGTGAACGCCAGTCCCCAAGCACAGAAAAATACTCGAAGTCCTTGGAGAACCACTCCCTAGCCAAGACTACAGCAGGAGGAAATGGGATTAACAGACTGTGGCCACCCCTCTGCACACCCGTCACTGCTAGTTATTCAGGCCCAGGGGAATAGCAGCCTCTAGGAGGGTAAATAGAGTCCAAGCAGCCTCAAAGAAGCTCCGCAGGTGTGGAGGGGCTGGGCAGGAGGGGGGAGGTATTAAATTGAGATTCCTCTCATCATCCAAAGAGAACTCCAAACTGATGTTAGCTGTATTTCTTCAAATAAGAAGTCCCTGCCAAACTGTAGGGTCTCCACCTGGATGAAGCACTCAAATCTCTTTTGCATGTCCCTGCCCTCAAGTCCTCATTCCTTTCCTATTTTGTCAGTTGACTTGACCTTTAAAGCTCCTCCAAACTAAGATTCTGTGTGTGTGTGTGCGCGTGCGTGTGTGTTTCTTCCTAGTTGCACTCTCATTCGCCAAAATAATTTGATGTCTGTTTTAGAGCTGCCAGTTCTAAAAGATATTAAACTATGCAATCCCAATACCGCACAACACATACTAGATTAAATTTATTGAAATGTAAGCTATGTTTCATTTAAATCCTCCAAGATAGATTGCTGCCTTCTTTTACTAACACACAGGCAACTTCTCCAGCTTCAATTATATATTCTTTACGAAAGGATGGAGCTGGGAGAAGTGAACTTCAAGATTCTATATCTACAAAAATATATTGGTGGGAATTCTTTAACTAATATGAATAATTGCTAATGATTTTCAATGTAGACAAAGGGTGAAAGAATAAATTTAGCTCAACTTTGTTTTTTGTTTGTTTTGAGTTGCTTTGTGCAGGTATTAGGGATTCAATTTGGGACTTAGGTGCCTGTCCATTAGCTTTTTTACTCAGTATTGTCATGCTATCACTTGAGCCACAGCTCTACTTTCAGTTTTTTTGGTGGTTAATTGGAGATAAGAGTCCACAGACTTTCTTGCCCAGGGTAGCTTCAACTGCAATCCTCACATCTCAGCCTCCTGAGTAACTGGAATCACAACTAGGTATACTAAACTGAGCCAGTAGCTAGAATTACAGCGAGGCACTAGTACCTTGGCTTAAAAAGAAACTGAGCCACGAAAGCACAAACTAGGGCCAAAGTAAAAATCACATAATCACCATTCAGTCGTTTCCACTTCACTGCACTAGGAAACAAAGGTCAGTTTTGCAGTTATAATACATTTTTATCCATATATTTAGCTTAATATAGTAGCATTTTACAGAATCCAAGTAGGGCATGATTCAACTGAGAGACACTGTCTAATACCCATGCCTATTTGCAATCCTAAAAATCCTAAAAAGAGTAAGGATTACATTTCCCATTCTTTATGATTAGGAGTGGGGCAATTAATATCCCAAAGTTAAGGTACTCCTTATTTATAAGGATTGCACCTTTATGTAACTATATCCCTCTGTACATTTCCTTTATGATAAAGATTAATTTAAAAAGAGTTAACCTTACATCCAGCTCCAGCACTAGTCTTCAAAGACTCCTATAACAAGTTCTAAAAGTTGGTTGTGAATTTGAAAGCAAAGCCAATCATCTGTTCATGCTAAATAAATCTCTAGCACACAGAAAACTTAAGATGAAAATACTGTGTAGGCAAATGATGGAATGCCACCTCTCTGCACAAAATCAGCTCATGAAAACCCTCTCCCCTCAACCACCTCTTCTGAGAGACTGATTCAAGGAATCCTCATCTGAAGTACCCATGCTACTAGCTGCTTCTCAGGTCTAACTTGTAAATTCTAAGTTTCGAGAATGAATATCCATGTGTATGTTCCAATGCACTTCTCTCAAAAGTACTGTATCAATGTCAAGATCTCAGTATTTTCAACAATTTTAATGCAGCTCAAAATGACAACTGAAACACTTCAAGTATATGGTTCACTGCTTATTTCCACAATTTGTAAGATTTTCTTGACCTTTTTCTTTCTTCGTATTTTCAGTTTTCATATAATCACTTAGATGTCCAAACCTTGGTATGGAACTTATCTCCAACACACAAGTAAAAAGCTGGACATAAGCTGCATAAATACTGTCCTCAGGATGGGTGAAGCTGTCCACTAACTGAGTTTCTACTTAATAAGGATTTCTTTAGTTATAATGAACATGCATAAGACCAAATATGCTGATAGCAACTTTATAAATATTAGGATATTACTACCTACAGAAGTATTCTGAGTTATTTTCGTGTGTGTGTGTGTGTGTGTTTGCAGTACTAGGGTTTGAACTCAGGGCTAAGGTAACTCTTTTGCTTGAGGCTGATGCTCTACCATTTTAGCCACAGCTCCACTGCTGGCTTTTTACAGAATAATTGGAGATAATAGTCTCATGGGCTTCAAACCTAATCCTCAAATCTGAGTCTCCGTAGTAGCTAGGACTATAGGCATGAGCCACAGTTGCCCAACTTGAATAATATTCTTATTGATCACTGCTAATAACAAACATGATTAATATGCTCTTGCAAGTTTGTCTTCTCCATGAAATACAGCATAAACACACAGAAAGTTATGTTTCTATCTTGAAGTACTCAAGGAGGCACTTTTAAAAATGGTCACAATCTAGCTGGGCACCAATGGCTCATGCCTATAATTCTAGCTACTCAAGAGGCTAAAATCACAGTTCAAAGCCAGCCCAGGCAGGAAACTCTATGAGACTCTCATCTCCAATAAACTACTCAAAAAGCTGGAAGTGGCACAGTGGCTCAAGTGGTAAAGCGCTCGCCTTGAGTAAAAGAAGCTCAGGGACAGCACCCAGGCCCAGGACTGGCAAAGAAAAAAAAAGGTTACATTCTAAGACTTACTTTGTTAATCAGTAAGGAATTATGCTGTTAAAGAATACAGCAAGTAGAGAGACACAGGCCCACGTCATTGCTTCCACAAACCATTAGAATCCTTTGCATAATACACCATTTGTTACATGTTCAGAAACTTAACATTCAAAATTTCACCCTATTGAAGTTTCCTTGGTTGTTATCTGAATAAAAAAGGTTTTGAGATCCATCACGATTATCAACTACCCCTATCCATACTCAACATCCTTGTACCTGGGGGAGGGGGTGGGGGAAGGAACACAAAAAAACCTCTCAATAGCTTTTTCCTTTGAAACTCTTCCCTTACTAAACATCCATGAATTCTGGATAGTTTTACCAAAGCAAACTGGTATAAAATCCCTGTACATAAAAAGAAAAAAAAACTTTAGTAAGTTAAATGTATTCTAGCATCCTTCCACTAAAAACTCCTTCATAAATATATTTTTCATGCTTTAACTAGAATTCTACCTAACTAGTCTCTTCTACCCAAAATATTGCTCTGAGAAAGGACTACTTGCTAAATATCTTCTTACCCAACCATAACTGCCAATCAAATATCTATTTTTTGCAGTGCTGGAGATCAAACCTAGGGTTTTACATCTGCTGTGTATGAGATCCATCACTGAACTATGTTTCCAGTCACAAAATACTTTTTAATTGATTAGAAATGTGTACTGTTATTTTGGAAATGAATATCTGATCTATGTACCGACTACCTGTAAGGCACTTCAACTCTCAAAAATACTACAGCAATATCATGATCTCATTTTAAAGCTTCTGTTTCTACTTTATGACAATCTAAAGCTACTTTAAGAAAATACATAGAAACTTAAATGCTAATTTTATCTTCTTTTTACCCAATGCCATTGCCAGTGTAACAAGGCTATTAAAATGCTCCAATTTAAGTAACTTCATTTCCCTGACTAATTTCCCTCATTAACCATTCAATCCCAAGGCTACCTCTCAGTCCCAGGAATGGGTGCATTTTAGACAAGAAGTTGCTTTCTTCACAACTAGCCAGCAACAATTCCTACAAGATTACTTACTCTTATTCTGATGAGAATTCTACCATCATGTTTTAGATGCCTTTGAGAAAAAACAAAGAGCCAGATGTGATGGTGAATGTCTGTAATCCTAATACTCAGGAGACTAGGACAGGAGGATCTACACTATATAGCAAGACTGTCTAAATAGATAAATAAGTAAATAAATGATAAATAAATAAATGTAAGTTGAGAAGCATAATCTTTATATTCTGCCATAAAAGATAATACAGCAGTATCTATGTAATGTTAATGTCATTTATTTAATACTGAATTTTTTATAAATGTAATTGAGCATACTTGTATAATAAAGTATTAAATTGCATATATTTGGATCTTAAAAAGATTTTGAAGAACTTAAAAATCTAAGTAAAAGCAGATATTCTCTCCTTTTTTTTTTTTGGTTGGGGCCTGAACTCTGGGCCTGGGCATTGTCCCTCAGCTCTTCAGGTCCAGGCACCACTTCTGGCTTTTTCTGCTTATATGGTCCTGAGGAATCAAACCCAGGGCTTCATGCATGCAAGGCAAGCACTTTACCACTGAGCCACCCTCCCAGCCCTGAAAGCAGATATTCTTAACCTGAGGTTTTTAAAGGTCCACAGACTGGTCTTCAGAAGATCTGTGATTCCTTTGAAATTCAACATTATACTGTCAGTGATATCAGAGCCATCGTAGTTTGTAAGTACACTCCATGATGTTCATAGTGATATAATCACCAACGAACACACCTTTCAGAACTTGTGTCATCACTTAAGCTAGACAAACCTATATATCACATAGGTGCATTTTTGAAGCAGAGGTCATAATTTCAATCAGATTCCTTTTTTTTTTTTTCCCACCACTGAGGACTGAATTTAAGGCCACGAGCTTGCTAGGGAGGTACTCCATTATTGAGCCAGGTTCCCAGTCCCTTTTTGCTTTCCTTATTTTTCAAATAGAGTATTGCTTTTGTCCTGGCTAGCCCAAACTGAATTCCTACTTGTACTTCCCAGGTACATTTACCACCATGCCCATTTTTTTGCTGGATAAGATGAATGTTTCCAATGGAGACATTTTTTTTTCTTTTTGGGCTGGTACTAAGGCTTGAAATCAGGGTCTTGAACACCTACTCAGCTTTTTTACTCAAGGCTGGAGCTCTACCACTTATGCCACATCTCTACTTCTGGCCTTTTGCTGGCTAATAGGAGATAAGTCTCTACAGACTTTTCTGCTAGGGCTGGCTAGGAACCAAAATCCTCAGCTCTCAGCCTCCTGAATAGCTAGGATTAGGGGCATGAGCTATCACTGACTTTCAAAAAATTTTTTGCCTGGGCTGTCCTGGACCATAGTCCCAGATCTCAGCTGGGATTATAAGCTTAAACTCCTATCTAAGGTACGTGTGTGCGCTGGTACTGCTGGTCCTGGGACTTGAACTAGGGGTTTAGATACTGTCCTTGAGCTTTTTTGCTCAAAGCTAATGCTCTATCACTTGATCCACAGTTCCACTTAAGGCATTACTGGCTAGCTACTAGCTTAACTGGGGATAAAGAGTCTCCTGGGCAGGCCCAGGATGGCTTCAACTGGCTTGGAACTGCAATCCTCATATCTCAGTCCCTAGTAGCTAGGATTCTAAGCATGAGCCACCAGTGCCCATATTCTCAGAGCTGAGCTCAGATTCTCAAAGGAACCACTGGCCCAAACAAAGGTCAAGAACTGATTTTGATGGATTTGTGTCATTCAAAACACAATTAGAAAGCGGGTGGCTCACACCTGTAATCCTAGCTACTCAGGAGGCTGAAATCTGAGAATCGCAGTTTAAAGCCAGCCCAGGCAGGAAAGTCCTTGACACTGTCATCTTCAATTAACCACCAGAAAACCAGAAGTGGTGCTATGTCTCAAGTGGTAGAATACTCGCCTTGAGTTGAAGAGCCCAGGGACAGCGCCCAAGCCCAGAGTTCAAGCCCAAACAAACAAACAAAAAAAAAAACACAATTAGATTAAGTTACTGGCCCCTTTGTTCCACAGGCCTAAAGTAGTTATCATTTAAATGCCTTTGCCCCTAACATTCCTACATTTTCTTGGATAGGTCATCTTTTAGTAATTTAGATAACTGGACTTTCTGAACAACTTAAATGGGAATTCCCTTCCTGAGTTCTTAAGTGGATTTTGTAGTCATTACGTACGTGAGTATAGGTGTCAAATACAATCACTTGTTAGAAATATCACTTTGCTGGGTATGAAGCTCAGCAGCAGAACACTGTTTATTGGAGGGCGTATTTTTAATACCATATACCTGAGTTTTCTGAATGTGTCTCCTGAACTCTCCAAAAGTAAGTCATTGATATATATGAAATAAAATGTTTAGTTAAGAATGTTAAGGACAGCAGGGTGCAGGTGGCTCACCCCCTATAGTCCTAGCTGCTCAGGAGGCTGAGATCTGAGGATCGCAGTTCAAAGCCAGTCCAGAGAGGAACGTCTGTGAGACTCTTATCTCCAATAAACCACCAGAAAACTGGAAGTGGCGCTGTGGCTCAAGTGATAGAGTGCTTGCCTTGAGCTGAAGAGCTGAGGGACAGCGCCCAGGCCCAGAGTTCAAGCCCCATGACCAGCAATAATAATAATAATAATAATGTAAGGACAATAATTTGTGTCTGTCACCAGCTGCTGCCCAACCATCCAGGATAATACGTGACAGATAAAAGTATCTGCTGAGCAAACACAAGTAAATACCTGTAAGTTTTAAGAATTCTCCAGCCTGACACTAACCAAAACGCACTGTATTCAAAACTGTTTTTTACCAATGGCAACTCCTTTATATAACTATTTAAAGAGAATTTTAAAAAGAGAATTCTGCAGTCTGGTTAGTGTTGCAGTTCATTTGCACATTTCTGCCTGTCTCTAGTTTTAAATGCTCCAGTGGTGAGACAATATTTTTTGTGGAAAATAAATGAGTGCTTTTGTTCTCCTTACTTTTAAGAAGTATAGTGGGGCGGGTAGGGGCCACTAATCTTTTAGGCACAAAGTCATTCTGGCATTGGCATTCTAAAGGAAAACACTGTACATAAAACCAGTTCCTATCGCAACTGGTGCTGGCTTAAAGTGTCCAGCATTTCATATAGAAAACCTAAATCAGGTCACTGGATTCCATTTCCATATTCTTTGACTTACACGTCAAAACTGAATCATATTTTCAACTTCTATAAGTACTGACTCCCAGGTTTAAAAAAAAACCCACAATAGAAGAAACATGAGCAGATGGATAGGGGCTAACAATGTGCTCAAATTCACAAAAGCAAAGACAGCTTCAGATACAGACGGATCAGAGTTGAAGGACACTTTTAAAAGGTCAGAAAACAAGAGGCTGAGAAACGTACCTCGGGTAAAAAGAACCAGGAGTGTACTTATTTAAAAAAAAAAGGAAAGAACCACCAACCCTAACACCTTCACCTAGAATTCTCAGCAGCCAGAGAGCAGCCCTGACAGACTCTCGGAGTCCAGAGAAACAGCATCCGAACTCCTACACCTCTGCACGGAGAAAGCAGGAAATACCGGACAGAGGTTTTCAGATCAGTTCAGAATCTCCACCAAGTAGAAGCAGTAAATATCGGGGAGGGCGGGGAGAGGCCAAAATGCCATGCCAAGGGGAACGAATAAGTAAATACAGCAAGCAAGCAGTTCACTCAGGACTTCAGCGGTCTGAGCCGAACGGGGGATTCCTGCGTGCGATCACTGCAGGGACGCGAGGTGTCTTTGACGGACTGGGTTGGGACAAGTAAGTTGTGGGGAGTTTGGACCAACAAATCCCGAAGACCTCCATCATCTCTCATGCACGCAACATATAGAGCACGCACGCACACGCGCATACACACACACACACACACACACACACACACACACGGCTCCTAAAATTACTCAACCTCCTTGCTGCGTGTGCAGCAAAATCCCGGGCGAAAGCGAAGTTCATCCTCCCGCCCTCCCACCTCCCGCCCCCCTTGGCTTTACCGCTAGCCAAACCACGGGCCCCGGGAAGCGCCCCGGGCCGCGGCGGCCGCCAGGGGTCGGAGGCGTGGCTGCGGGCGTCGGAAGCCCCGGCCACGCCGGGCGGCGGTCGGCGCGAAGCCGCGAGCCCAGGTGAGAGAGCCCAGCCGGGGCGCGGTCTCCAAAGGTGAGACGGGCCGTCCTCCCCCACCCCACGCGCTGACCGCGCGTCCGGGGTTCCTCCTCTTCCTCCCGCTGCCTACACTGCACGCTCGGAAATCCAGTGGAAAGTTGCAAAGTGGCGGAAGCACGGACCCGGTTCTCTGAGGATCGTCGCCGGCGGCCCCTCGGGGGAGAGCGTCGGCCGGCCGGACAAAGGCGCACCGGACGGCGCGCGAGGAGGAGCCCGGGTGGCGGAGGAAGCGCTGGTCCCGGCTGGGAAGCAGCTGGGGACCTCATCCCCGACCATTTCCTGAGCGGAACCCGAGCTGGGCTGGGGAGGGCCGGGGGGAGGGAGGGCGAGAGACGAGCGGGGAGGGAGTGGACGCGGGCGCAGTACCCACCGGTTCCTCCCAGGCCGGGCTGCGGGCGCCGGGCGCCGGGCGCACGTGCTGAGGTTCCATCGCCCTGGCCCGCGCCCGCCGGCCGCCCGGGCGCACGGACCCGAGCTCCGGTCGCCGCCGCTGGGGCCGCTGGATGCGCCTCCCTCGTCGCGGTCCCCTTCGGCGCCGCCGCTGCCGTCGCCGCCCCGGCTTTCTCCCGGGACCCACCACCCGCCCTCCCCGCGGTCTCAGGCTTCCGCCACGCCGTGCCCTCCCGCCCTCGCGCCGGTCCCTTCCTCCTCCGCCGCCGCCTCCGGCTCCTCGGTCCCGCTGATTTGCGCGGCTCCCAGCGGTCCGCGGTCCGCGGTCCGCTCCGCCGCCGCCGCCGCCGCCTCCCACGGCCGTAGAATCCGCCCCTCGCTCCTGCCTCCGCCCCCCGCTCCCTCCCCTTTTCCTCCCCGCTTCCCGCCCCTCCCCCCGCCGCCCCCTTCTCCCGGCGGGCGGCCCGGGACGCACGTGACCCCCCTGGCAGGCCTTATAAGGCGCGGAACCGAAAGCGGCCGCCGGGTGGACGCGGGCAGCGGGCGGCGGTGCCCGGCGAGGCGGCCTCATCCCTCCCGGGGGCCGCGCGCGGAGCCGCCGCCGGGCGCACTTGGAGCCGTCCGGAAAGACTGAACTGGGCGGCCACTGCGCTGGCCACCCGAGACGGGGTGGACGAGCGCCCCGGGGGGTGAGGGTCCCACGAGCGCCCCCCCTTCCCAGCGCCCCTGTCCCTCACCGACTCTGTCCAATAGCCGGCGGCCAGTGTCAACCCGCCCTCCGGGTACTGAGGCTTGAAATGGCACTGGACAGGGACCCGCTTCCGTGGGGCGGGGGAGAGCCTCGCCCCCCAGAAACAGCCCAGCGGGGACGGTTCATTCTGTGATGCCAAGAAGCTGCAACAGAGGTTAAGCTTCAGTGAGTGCTGCTTTTATTGGTGTGTGTGTGTGTGTGTCTAACGGTTTCGTGGAAAGAAAAATGAAACACCCCTGGAGCGGATCTACTGTCCATTTTTTTTTTATCCATACACTGAAAAGCAGGGGCGGTGACCGCTTAGATGTGGCAGGTCACCACCCCCGACCACTTCTAAGGAAAAACGTGTTGAGAATCATGGAGAATGCGTCCCATCACTGTAATGGCACTGGTGATAGTTTCATTCCCCCCCCCCCCCCCCCCCCCCGTCGTTCTTTGGTAACTGCGGTCTGATTTCCCATGATACCAGCTCACTGACACTACCCTGACATAGGGCGCCTAATGTTACTCTGTCCTGGGCTTCTTGACCCGTAAGCCATTTTTGTCATTGTGGACTTGGTTTTTATTCCTAAATCTGTGCTTTACTTTGGCTCCTGGGATGGTCCAGGTTCTGATTATTCTTGCTCAGCCAACATCTTACCCTCTCCCTTCCTTGATTTCAACTGCCAACCCTGTGCTAATAACTCATTATTACTATTCCTGTCCCAGATCTCCCGTTCTGTGAAGCTAACTTATTAACCAGCCATCTCTACCCTCCACACTTCCCAAAGGCCTTAAACTCAACCTGACTGAAATGGAAGTGCCTTCGAGTCTCTTTCTAAGTGAATACCACCACAATTCATTTAGTCATCCAAAAGAGAAACCTGAAAATTATTCCAGGCTCCTCTTTCTTTCTCCCATTGTACCCTCCTCTCCATAGTTTCTGAATGCCACCTTTGAGGTCCTTTGCCACTCTTGCCTGGTGTCAGGTCCCTTATTTCAAACTCCTGAAAGCTTATATTGCTGTCCTTACCACTGTTGTTGCCTCTTGTTGGCTGCTCCAAGACCCCTGCCATCTCTCACACTGATCAAAGGAAGCCTTCTAAAGGACAAAATTGTATGAGCCAATCATTCTCTTCAGAAGCCTCTTCAGAAGCTGAGCCAATGGCTCTCTGTGACCTGCAGGGTAAATCCTTACTGTATCTTAGTCAATGCCTGCTTCTCCAGGCCCATCCAACACTGAATTCCTTGCATGCATTTCCTATCCAGCTACTTGTTTTTATACTGTGTCCTTTCACAGAATGTCCTTCAGCTTACTCAGACTGTCCAAACACCTGCTCATCTTTCATAATTCACCCTAAAAAGTCACCTTGCTTATGAAATCACAAGCTGACCCTGTTATAGGTAAAAACTGGCCACTCTGCCTACACTACATGACTAAATACCCTCTCCCCACACCCCATCATAATGCCTTAGAAGACTCTGTTCAACTCAGTTTTGATGACATACTATCATCTCCTTGATGGCAATCTCAATTTTCTGAGTAGCAGGGATTACAGGCATGAGCCACCAACACCTGGCTTGGAGATATACTTCTATGGCTGTAGAAAATCCGTTTTCCATGCATTGTTTCATGATACATACAAAAATCTTCCAATTTGATTTTTTTTTCTTTTGGTCAGTCATAGGGCTTGAACTCAGGGCCTGGGCCCTGTCCCTTAGCTTTTGTGCTCAACACCAGTGCTCTACCTCTGAGCCACAGCTCCAGTTCCAGTTTTCTGGTTGTTAATTGGAGATAAGAGTCTCACAGACTTTCTTGCTCAGTCTAGCTTTGAACCGCCACAATCCTCAGATCTCAGCCCCCTGTGTAGGTAGGATTATAGGTATGAGCCACCAGTGCCCGGCCCAGTTCAGTTCTTAGTAGTTATCCTTAAAATGTATGGAGGGAGTTTAAGTGGAGGGAGTTTAAGCAGGCAGCTCAGCACTAAACATGGTCCCCATCAGGGTGGCAGGGGTCACATTGGCCTTCCTGCCCAGGGGTTGGCTTACGAACTGAGCAAAACCACCCCGGGTCAAAGATCTATCCCCAATAAAAGTGTTTTTTTCTCTGGGAGAGCTTGAATAATTTTTCTTTCAGAAAGCCATACAAAGAAGAAATAAAGGCAAAACGTGTGAGATTTGGTACTTTGTCACTTGAGATACACTAATATTTATTGAAAAGTATTCAGGATTTGCTGTTAAAGAGAACTGTGCCCAAATTCTTATTCCTTCTCAACCTTGAGATCTTGGGCAATTTACTTCCTCCATTTACAAATACACATAACAAAACCAATTTCTCAACAAAACTTCTGTTGGTGGGCTGGATGAAATGCACTGGTATAATACAGATGTTCTTTCCAAACCTTAAAGCTCCAACTAAGGGAAAAAAGAAATGTGAGGGCTACTATTAGCAGTTTGTCACACAAATCAGGTAAGGACTTTGCCATCCTTATTAATGCAGGACTTCAAATAACTTTTGAAATTAGTGGCTACCAGAGTTAAAAAACAAATTTGACAAAGGTTCACACATACAGGTTTTTAAACTGCACCCTGAGTTTTCTCAGTTCAAGTTTTTTGCTTGTTTGTTTGTTTGTGGCATATGAGATCCATCCCAAGCTTCAGACATATGAGGCATAGGAACAAAGTTTTTAAGCTCCCTTTTAAATAAGTGACTTTGCTCATCAGACTAACCATATGACATTATTATTCCCATTTTATAAATGAGGAGACTGGCTTTAAAGGATTAAGGGGTAAGATGTAGGTATGCACATAAGTAGCAGCACTGTTTTAAGGTGTTGTCAGCATGGAAAGGTCCCATTGAGGAAACAGGATCGGGAGACACAAGTACACAGGAGAGTGCAGTAGAAACAACACTCAAGAACTGCAGTGGGGCCAGGCCTGGTGGCCCATGTCTGTAATCCTAACTACTTAGGAGGCTGAAACGTCAGAACTGGGGTTCAAAGCCAGCTTGTGTAGACAAATCTCCCATTAACCAACAAAAAGCCAGACATGGAGGAGTGGCTCAACTGGTAGAGTGCCAGCCTTGAGAGAAAAAAAAAGAGCTCCAGGCCCCAGCAGCAACACCACAAAACAACAACAACAAAGCATTGAATTATTACTTGCCATATAGAGAAACGCCTGTTCAGGCAGCTAAGATGGAAAAACAACTATAAGGCTGGAAAAAAGTTTGTTGCACAGGTTGAGAAAGAAAGCATAAAAAGCTCTGTATCTTCAGAGCCAAGAATAGAAAAGCAAGAAAGAGAGCATACCATAAACGTCATCTGTTGTTATGACCTGGACTGGAATCCAGGTCTATGGTGTGTATTCTTTCCGGTTGCCCCAGGATACAGCAACTGCCTTCAGTACAAAGGTCTTAAACAGGCCGGGTCCAGCCCATCTCTCCCTTTCCCTCACCTCCTGCATAGACACCCTCTTTCCAAAATTCTTTTGCTTGACTGACTTTTCACTCAGCTTCCTGCATCCCTGTTCCCACCGACAAAGGCCTGGTCCATCTCCTTGGAGCACCTTTTCCTCTCCTCCACCTCTTTGCCTGTTTTTTTTTTTTTTTTTTACCTGATGGGAAACTTGAGGGCACAGCAGATGACTAGGACTTCAAGAGCTGGACCTAACCCAGCAGGTAATACTTCTCACCACATGTGGGCTCCAGCTGTGTGGAAGCCCAGAAGAGCTGCATTGCATTCTGTCCACACAGTTCTGTCCCTCTCCCCTTTGGAACCTCTACCAGAGGACATTGAAAGGATTAGTTTTCTGATGGCAGACTGGGGATCCCAAGAGTGGGTAGCTAAAGTGGTAAGCAGGGGAGGTAGAGGAAGGGGGCTGTTGAGTTTCATCTTCATGATGGAGAGTAGGTATGCCAAGTCACAGACAACAATGGTAGTCCTGCTGACTTGAACATTAGAATGATGTTCTTAAACCCATGTTCTTTGTGTCATTGGGCAAGTCCTCAACATCTTAATGTTCTGTTTTCTCACAAAGAAATAGTTACCTAACACTTGGCTTTGTGAAGATCCTTAATGTTTACTTGTTCAAAAACCATGATAAATAGTTCTCTCTAGTTATGTGTCTCTGGTCATAAAGTAGGGCTCTTTTAGAAACCCACAAATGCCAGCCAAAGTTAAATTTGTCATTCATTTGATGCTTTCTTTAATCCTATGCTTTTTTAAAGTGCATTAACATGAAAGTTGGTAAGCTTCTTATTTACAAATCAGTGGTTTAATTCATTCATTCAATAAATATGTTGCGAGACTGGGAGAGTAGAG